AATAATAATAATAATAATAATAATAATAATAATAATAATAATAATAACAATAATGATAATGGTGATGACGATGATGATTAGGATTATGGATGATATTGTTGATGGATGGTGAAAGAAATTTTATAACCGCACAAGCTTTGAATTTAATTATAAACGTAAAATATTATTGTTGTCTTAAACCTATGTATTAGGGTGGTCCTTATTTTTGAATGTTTGAAATTTATTTGCTGGACCCCTCTATTTTTTTTATTACCATAAAAAAGTATTTCGGGTGAAATTTGGTCAAGATAACTCACCCCCTTCCCGTGCCACAAAAGGGTTGAAAAATAGCTGAACGAGAAAATGTTATAGTTTTTTGAATTTTATTTGAAAACTGGTACATAACTTATGCGTATTTAAGTTTTCTAAAAAAACTTAGTTTCCTACTAAAAAGTTCATGGTATATCTAAAATGTATTATTATTTGTACATTCAAATAATAACAAGTGTATTTCAATCGGTATTGGTACTTTCATCTATAAATGGTGCGCTCAAAGCTATTCTTGTTTGTTTTTGATACGTTTTTCTGTATTTTTGAATAACCTAAAATTAAATACTTTATAGAAAATCAATCATTATACTTAATATACTTTCATGACTTACTTGAAGCAAATATTGTTTTTGGTTTTCATTTTTGGTGAACTTTTCATTAAAATCCTCCATGAGTTTCACCCCTCTCTCTGCAATGTCATTTACAATTTGTAACGAACTTATAACTTTTTTTGCTGACTGGTAAGCAGAATTATTATTCCACTCTATAGGATCCATTTTTAGGTACTCTGAAGAAATTTTAAATCTTTTAAATAATTTATTTGATTTCCAACTTAACAAATTGATAGGTAGTTCTTTATCTAAAAATTCATCCACGTCTTCTATCTTTAAGGAAAACTTTTTTTGTCCTGATAATATATCCTGGGAAAATTCTCCTTCCACTTCCGGAGTAAATTCTTTATATTCAATGAGCTTACTGGCCATTTTTTTTCGGGTTTCTATTGAAATTCTTTCATCGAATATACCGAACACTACGCATTCTTCATTCAAATACCACAAATGATTTAAAAATTTTGACAAACATGCTTCTGAAATTTTTTTATCATCTTTTTTATATTCATTTAATGAACGAATTAAATGTATGTCATTTAATGGAGCCTCTATCACATTCGTAACTGTACACCAATATTTAATATAAATTTTAACAATAAATGCACAAATTCGCTTTATAGCGTTTTCTTCTGATTTTGTTATTTTGAATTCAGACCGTAGTAAAAATATCTTAAGACAATAAATACATTTTGCCATCCACCTTGCCTGATGATATGCACCGGGTTGGCGAATTTTTAATCCACCAGGTGGAATATCTCCAAGAACAATTATGACTAGTTCAATAAATTCTTTGTAATCATCCCTAGGGTGGTCTTCAGTAATTTTTTGAAAGCAAAATGATAAAACTTCTTCACGTTTTGGCGAAATTATCTTTTCAAAATATTTATCTGTATTCCAAACTAATATATTTGTTTTATTTATATTTTTCCATGCATTTTTAAAGAGTTTAAAAATAGCTATATCTGGTCCAGATGATACGTGCAATTTCGCTTCGTTAAAAGCAGCTTGCATAATCAATTCTGAAACGTGATGCCTACATGCTAAAAATAGAATGTCTCTACCTAATCGCTGCTCTAAAAGTGTAGAAGCCCCATTTAGTCTACCAGTATTTGAAGCAGTAGTATCAAACACAAAACCTTGAACCTTATCAAGTAATAACCACTTTTCTAATGAATCATAAACAGCTGATGATATTTCACTACCCGTACCTGATGGAATTTGTGGAACTCCAAGAAGTTGTTCTACATTAGGAGATGAAGCAATTACTGGAAGACGGTCAACTTTTTCTTGGCCAGACAAATTGGGAAGTAATTTTGTATCCCAATGTACGATAACGAAATCAACATTTAAAGTACAAAAATCCGAATGAACTTTTTCGGCAACTTTTTTACGAAAAATTTCACGGCATTTTTTTATAGATGTTCGATTGATAATATAATCAGATGGATTTAAAGAAACACTTTCTACGCATGCTGTTAGTAAATGTACAGCGTCTCTATCACTGACCTTACATTTGTCTAAAGCGGCAGAAAGCCTTGGTGTCATAATTTCTTTGGTTGCTCTTTGAATTCCAGATGTACATGGTCTATGGTCTTCCTCTAAGACCATACTACCTCCATCCTCTTTCTCCTCCTCCTCTTCTTCTGAAGTGGTAAATTCAAGAGTTTCAACTATAATATAATAATAGAAACTTGTAGTGCAACCATATAATATAAAAACGTAACATTATAATTTGTTTTTCATAATTTAAAATTAGATAATTACCCATTTCTATGTTTGAAAGTTCAGTTTCATATTTTTTTCGTTTTGTTTCCTCTTGATTTATCCTAATTGTTTTTCTTTTTTCTTTTTGTGATAACTTCATGTCAACTCCAAGCAAACAACCTGGACGACCTGGCTTTCTTTGAGAACGTAAAAATTCTTTATCGATATCGATTTTCATAATATCAAATGCATTTGCGTGTGCAATATCAAATAAATTGTCTAAAGATTGTTCAAACTCTTTTACTTGGAACTTGAATGTTTTACTTTCTCGTTTTTTACGTTTTTCAAGACTTCTCCAAACTTCATATGATTTTTTTAATTTTTTCATACAATCTGCTCGATCTTTAGTTGGAATTCGGGCTTTTTTCCAAAATATAGTACATTCATCGATCACTAAATAGGCACTTTGTGATAAATTAATTTTCACTATTCGCATATTAAAAAATAAAACTTTCATACAATCTCTTAGTGTTGGCAGTTTGCTACCGAGAATTTGATTATTCATTGAACCGATCAAATAAATCATTTGTCGTGGCATTTTTAACTAATAAATCAACTTTTAAATTGTTATAAACACAAGAGAAAATTAAAAACTGAATATAAATGAAAACACAATGTTGTAGTTAGTGTGAAATGTAAGATGTTCACTGATTAACTAATAGAAATGTATAAGTAAATATTTTTTGATTAAATCGTAATAATCAATAACAAATCCCGGCCAAATGAGTTAATAATACACATTGGTAAACATTATAAAAGCAATATATAAAATAAGTATAACCTAATAGCCTTAATGATATTTTAAAACTTCGATAACAAGTATCAACGAATCGATTATCATTGTATTACATTGTAATTGTATTATCAAAATATAAAATATCTAACGAAATTTTATTATCTACTTTTTCTGGAAAGTAATAGATTTACAATAAATGTTGTAAGAAACTTATTTATAGAAAATATTTTTTTCTACAAAAAAGGTTCAGTACAATTTTTTGGTAAGTTTTATATTTTACAAAAAAAACTCAAATAATGTAAAATTATCTGGTTCAGCAATTGTTCTACCCTTTGTGGCACGGGAAGGGGGTAAGTTATTTTATCCAAATTTTACCCAACTCATTCTTATATGATAATAAAAAAAATAGGGGGGTCCGGCAAAATAAATATTCAAATTTTTTTTTCGTCTTCTATAACTAAGGACCACCCTACTATGTATGCATTTGTTTGACCCAAACAAAAAAATAAAACCTATCTTTCGTTATAATATACTTTATGCGATTTTTATAATTATTTTTAAAAAAAAAAAAGAAAAACAATTTTTTTGTAATCACTATTATTTATACATATTTCAATATTTTAACATTTTACAGTTATAGGTATATTTTATAACCATAGTAGAATTAATTAGTAGAATAACTTGTTCATTAATTTCATCGTTATGATATTTGTGATGGGAATGGGGTGCCATTCACTATTTGAGTATATTAAAAATAATTAATGTATTTTGAGAAAAATTAATTTGAAGCGACTCAAGTTCTAGTAATAACAACTTAATACTATTATTTTGTATTTAGTAAATTCGGAAAATATATCCAACAAGAAAAAAAAATAATCTATATATTATTAAAACAACTCGAAACTAATTTAATATTAGTTAATCTATTATGATTTTGTCAAAAAAATTGATTTACAATAAAATATTAACCATTCTATAATTATTTTTAGATGAACAATTAGGTTAACAAGTATTATTGTATTTAAATTATTTATTTCATTAAAATCCGTTGTTCCACTGGTTGATTGAGTTCAAAGCATTTTCAAAAGTGGTTTATATTTTAAATCAACTCGTGTTTAATTCACAGTTGTGAATTCGATTTGAAAAAAAATAAGGCAAAGGACAGCCATTGGATAAAAAAAAAAAAAAAAATAAAAATGTACATGTTTTTTTTCATATTGCATTTATTGCATTTCCAATGACCGATTCGAATCGTAAACGATAACACTATGACCCCACCGCGCGTGATAATAACATAAACCTGCAATAAAACTATTATTTTCAAATATCGCTATGGAAATTGTTTTTTTTTTTTTTGAGAATTTTATGTTGAAGAATCTCCGAAATGTTCGCAAACAATGTTAAGGTAAATATTTCTATGAAATGCGTATATATTTGTTCATATCGAGCAAAATATTTTTAAACTCAATTACATATTTTATCACGTATCTAAGGCAAAAACCGCTATAAAAATGCTAAATAAAAATTACATTGTGGTAGATATACATGCGCATCGGCATAATGGAGAGTACGGAACTGATAAATTTAATAACCTAAATAAAAACAACGTCGAGTATAGCATTCAATTTATAAAATATATTTAATGTTGCTACACATAGTTTAGAAACTCAACAAATTTATGCTTGTATACGGACTTGTTGTAGGGCCCATTTGGGGACCGATTTATGACTGACACTAAATGTATAATTTAGAAATAATTATAATGAATCACCTATGTAGTACATGTTAAGTAATGTATAATACTTAAAATATGATCAAAATACATCTACCAATTAATCGTGACCGATATTCAATAGTAATAATATGCTATTCAGCGTGTGTCGACAAATGGTAGTTAACTTTTTAGGATTATTTTGTTTTTCGTTCAAGCGACCATGCGCCGTAAGATAATAAAAGGTTAGGTATTTTATTTTATTTAACTGTAAGTATTGTATCGCAAGAATTTTCATATTAAAATCAGAATAATAAATATTATCAACTATTATAAAATTGCACAATTTCTAATAAAATAAATTTAACTTTAAATCGATAATGCATATAATCAGTTTAAATGTTATTACAATATTTCGAAAATTATGTAGTACATGACCAAATACGAGTTCGAAACTTGATCTTGGTAAAAATTATCACGTGGAGCAGATTAAAATGGTAAGAGGGCCGCTGGTGTTTTCTCATTTATATCCACCCCAGGATTAAGAACTTCAAGGGCCCAGGGGTCAATACATGGTTGTGAACCCCTACTAATGGAAACAATTATTTAAAATTAAAAATTATATTATAAAATAAATTTAAAACTTTTTAATGAAGTAGAATAAAAAAATTATAAGCATATTATTTTTATTATAACATATGTGTCTACAAATGAGATTAAATATTTCATGTTAGAATCTTTTTCCTTGCTTGTTATGTAGCAAATTTATTTTAAATACAGTGATAACATAAAATATATCCCTGCTTTCCGTGCGTACAAACCTGACCACGTGCCACCACTTATCGCATACTTGATAGTAAACATGGCAGGCATGTGAAGGGCCTCTTCGCTCGTTGGTTCAAACAAGAAAAAAATAAAAATATTCTTGTAGGTGTATTATAAAAATTACAAATTACCACTCGATGTAATTTTAAGCCGAGGAGATTATGGACCCTTTATATACGTAGGCTCTAGGGACGTGTCCCCTTCCCTTTAATCCAAGCTTGTCGACACCTCTCCCTATCTACACTAGGTTGGCTGTGAAACGTATGACAAAGCTAACTTATGCACACCGAGCTTGTTGCGATTGATCGATTTTGCTAAAATCCACTGAAGAACGCATTACTCGTTTCCACACTATATACCCCCAATAGTTGTGAAATATCCAACTATAGTTTAACCGTGCATCTGATCTTGGTTTTATACACTAAATTAGGCCATTCTGAT